CATACTGACATCTGCCCTATCTGGAGTAGGTTGAAGAGATAGGTGAAACAGGGCTATCACAGCGCCTTGACCTCACCCCAATAAAAGCTACAACTTTCTCTGCGCCAACAGCTCCAAATCAAGACAGCTATTCACCTCCCATGTGGTCTGTGCAGCATCAATACAGGAAGAAATTGCTGCTGGTTTTTTCATAGATTCATATATTGTAGGAACTGGAAAGGACCTTGCAAGATCATTGAGTCCAGTCCCCCCATACTAGGCAGGAAAGACAACAGGTCAGGTGATCCCAGCTAGGTGACCATCCAGTCACCTCTTGAAGATTTCCAGGGTAGATGATTGCACCACCTCTGGAGGGAGCTTATTCCACAGTCTGGACACCCTGACTGCGAAGAAGTTTTTCGTAATGTTAAGCCTGAAACAATCTTCCAGGAGTTTGTACCATTACTCCTGATTTTCCCCAAGGATGCCTTGGTGAACAATTGCTTGCCAAGCCCTTGATGTATTCACCTGATATAGCAGTAAGCTGCTACCATGTCCCCTCTCAGCCTTCTCTTTTTTAGGCTGAAGAGTCCCAAGTCCCTCAGCGTTTCCTTGCAAGTCTCTGATCATATGGTGGCTCTTTTCTAGACTCTCAAGCTTTTCCACATCCTCGTTGAAGTGCGGTGGCCAGAACTGCATGCAGTACTCCAGCTGTGGTCTCACCAATGCTGAGTAAAGTGAAAGAATCACTTCCTTGGCTTTGCTTGAGATGTGTCAGTTGATGCATGCCAAAGTATGGTTTGCCCTGCTGGCTACAGCATCGTACTGATGGCTCATACTATGGTCTATTATTACCCCTAGGTCCCTTTCAGTTGTGGTGCTAATCAGTTTGGTGCCCCTGAGCGTATCCCCAAACAGAGAACTTTACACTTCTCAATACTGAACTTCATCTGGTTCCAATCCGCCCAACTTGTCAACCTGTCTAGGTCCGCCTGTATCTGCAGCCTATATTCAAGCATGACCACACTCCCCCATAATTTGGTGTCATCCACCCACTTGGCCAGTGAGCTCTTTACCCCCACATCCAAATCATTGACATAGATGTTGAAAAGCACTGGACCCAGCACTGCCCCTTGAGGGACACCACTGGCCACTTCTTGCCAGGATGACACAGATCCGTTCATTAGAACTCTCTGGGTCCTTCCCTGCACCCACCTAAGGAGTCATGACCTACTGAGGAGGTTGTCTCTTCTTACTGAAATCTAAATATTCCCAATGGCAGCATTAAAGCAGATAAGTCTTTCTTAGACCCATATGGCATCATGGCACTGGAGGGCTTTATAGGTCAATTTTAGAGTTAGGGGAGGATGATCATATAACTGAGATTTGCCTCCTCTTTCTATAGTTCAGCTGTTTCTGTGGACAAGTCACTATTTTGCCAACTGTCACAGAGTAGCTCCCCAAAATTGTTTTAAATACCCTACTCAATCGACAGTCTGCCCAGCTTCCACCCACCACACCTTGATGTCAGTTGATATACAGCATGCAGGAGGCTGCCCTGGCCTTATTACAGTGACCACCCAGATTGTAGCCCTGGCCTAATGGGCCAGTTGCGTGGCTCTGTACCTCTCCTACACCATGCCCTATATGTCACAGATGGCATCTGTATAGATGTATCCATTCAAAATCTAGTAGACTTACCACATACACACAACTTGATTGCAATTCTTGACATAACTCTGCCCTTTCCATTCTTGCCTCAGGTAGACAAAGATTAGAACAAACTAAAAATTTCCCAATCTAATATGTTTTTAGTTTTCCTGCCCTTTGTCTTAATTTTTCTCCTCTAAAGGAAAGTATTCTGAGAAAGAAGAGATCCCAGTTAATGAACTTGTCTGTTCAGATAAAGGAGGTTCAGGAAAAATAAACACATCAAAAGTGAGGTAAGGTTGCAAATGGATTTCAGTGGAATCCAATTAACACACCCACACAGAAAAAATTATACCCCTTTCAAGTGAAAAAAAAAACCCAATGAGTTAAACACCTGCAAGTAAACATGAGGTACCCTGCTATTAAGTCACACCACACTTCTGAAATCTTCCTCTGCTTTTTCGCTCAATCTGCATACCTGCCAAAGTCAAAGCAACAGGATAGACTGTTATAGGTCATACAAAGCTATGCAGAGGAATAACCAAGTCCCCACCTCCCAACCTGTCCGTGCTCAGAGCATGACTCAAACCATAAGACTATTCAACTGATACTTCTGGCTGCACACCAGTAAGAAGACCCCAGATCCTCACCCTGCCTAATGGTCACATGCACAAGGGAAGGAGTTGCTACACAAAGAGGAAATGGCCTTTTCTCCACCCAAAATATGAGGGGTGGAAAGGGGGCTTTGAACTCAAGTCAGTCACATCTCATTCTCTGTTCTGTGCTACTCCTGGTGCACTGTAAATCAAGCTCATAACTGAACACATACTGCTGTCTGTGTACATTACCAATGTGGGCATGTCAGGGAAA